CCATGTTGCACAATCAGCATTACATACGCGCTTACCGAAACTGTCTAATTGGCTTTGCATGGTTGCAGTTACACCATTACACGGCTCCACAGCCCTTCGTTGGACCTTGGCCGCTTTTCAGTTTCTGAATCCTATACACAGTAGGTAGGAACCCTTGGACGGGGGATCAGCTCCTCGCAAGGCCGCTACCTACACAATCACAGAATAAACGCACACAGACATCCATGCCTTGTGTGGGATTCGAACCCACGATCGCAGTGTTCGAGCGGGCGAAGACGGTTCATGCCTCAGGCGTTGCGGCCGGCCACTGTGATGGGCTGAATGGAGTTATATAGTGACGGGAAACCGTGCTGATTGGTTTTAACCGCCCCCGTTCCGTGGATATTAAGAGAAAAAACAAAACTGAAACAAAGTAGAAAATATATTAAATATTAATACCAGAACATAGAAGATGCATTTTTAGCCACTTTTCCTGAAGCAGGCTGAAGCGAAATCCTTGCTGTCTGTGAAACCCTTCCTCCATTAACTTTTGAATGCCTTCACCAATCTTAATCAACCTCGGTATCTATGTCATGGCACCTGTACCCATCTCAACGGCGTACTTCATACATCCCTCCCATCGGTCTGTGTGTCTGTATGTGTATCCCCATATCGTTGCTAGGTAATAACAAGTCAGTAAAGACGTTCCCGCGACAATCAAGAATGGTTGGAGGCGGCTTTTTCTATGCGGTCCGTATCGCATTAAATGAAAGTAGGTGATTAGTATTTCTCAGAACTTCTTGTTTAAAATTCTTTTTCCATCTCAAATATTCTGAAGTCGGGTTAGCTCAGCGATGTGCTGTGGGTCGGACGGCCGGGGTTCGATTCCCGGTAGGAGCAAGAAATTTTTCTTTACTCCACAAAGTCGAGTGCAGCTCTATCTGCTCCTATCTAATGGGTACCGGAGGTAAAGCGGCCGGGGCGTGAAGCTTACCACTGAGCATTGTCTAGTGTGGAGGCCAAGAATGGTGGACTCCCCCATGAATTAAACACAGGGCCACTGTACCTTTCTTCGTAACAGCGGCTAGCTAGGTCTCCCCCATGAATTAAACACAGGGACAACTGTACCTTTCTTCCTAACAGCGGCTAGCTAGGTCTCCCCCATGAATTAAACACAGGGACCACTGTACCTTTCTTCCTAACAGCGGCTAGCTAGGTCTCCCCCATGAATTAAACACAGGGACAACTGTACCTTTCTTCCTAACAGCGGCTAGCTAGGTCTCCCCCATGAATTAAACACAGGGACAACTGTACCTTTCTTCCTAACAGCGGCTAGCTAGGGCTCCCCCATGACTTAAACGCAGTGACAACTGTACCTTTCTTCCTAACAGCGGCTAGCTACGTACAAATCGCAACTGGCCGCTCGCGACCTTGTCCCGCTGTCATTTAGGCACAGCGTTCAAACCCGCATAAAAATAACCAACCATATATATATAAAACATGGCCTCTAAAAGTCAGTAGTGTGTTTACTGTTTCTGTGAATGCAATGGCGAAGCAATTTCATTGAACTGAATGCCCCATGCCCCTCACACTTGCGCACAAGCCGGTTCCTGGATCGCTGCCTCAAGTCGGCGGCATTTCTCGTCGTGACATAAACAGCTTCTGCGAACCGTGCACACACGTGTTGCAGCTACTCGCAGTCAAGCATCAGCTCCGAGCTGCTCCTCCATTCGCTCGAAAATATTTTAGAGAGCTCTTGCTTTATTTCCTGTTTGTAACGACTGTCGCTAACTGCCCTGATGTGAGTCCACCCCAACGGAATCTTCTAACGGCTGCAGGAATTGTATGCGGACAGACATACACAAAGTAAATGTAAAGCTGTCCCTGAAACAGGCCGTGGAGGCCCATAGGGTTGTGAGACGTCGGCTCACAGATGGCGGTGAGGTTGTCAGCCTTACTCGGCGACCGCCCCATACCCCCAGGAAGATTCCTGATACTCATTTCTGTTAGAGGTTGAGTCAACCCCAGGGCCATAGTGCGGCTGGAAGGATTAGGTTAACTGAAAAAGATAATGACCTAATTGGGACTCGAACCCGGGACCTTCCAGGTTGTAGCATAGTGTCTCAGCCAGGTACGCTACCGCGTGTCCCCATACGGACAGACATACAACTGACAGACAGCTGGCACAGCTCGGTCAGTACAGTGGACTGGAACAGCGAAGAATCGGTGTTCGAGTCCCGTCAGGGACGCAATATTTTCTTTTCACCACAGCGTTTAGATGCCTCAAGGGGCTACTCTCTCGTCCTCCTGTTTTCTCGGGGATAGTGAGGGCTGGGCATGAAGCTGACCACTGATCTTCGTCTAGTACCGAAGTTAGGAATACCTGGAGCTATACCTACATTCCCTATACGTCTTCATGGCGAAATACAGAGGGACGTCACGCCATATGACAAAATATCACACGCAGTGCTTTCCCTGGGGTAAAGCGGCCGGGACGTGAAGCTGACCACTGACCTCCAACCAGTGCCGAGGTGATGAATACGTGGATCTGTTCATCCACTCCCCAATACATCTCGATGGCGTGGTGCGTAGTTTTAAGCGCAGCCCTACGCGGCCGTTATCTTCACCCCCGGTCGGCGTCCGTCTGCACCGGAAGTTCCGCTCGCTCATTACGTGCGCACAGCTCCACTTCCTGCTGAGTGGACACAGTAATTATTGGTAAGGCACGCCGCAACAGGAACTGAGCGGGGCCCGCACCAAACAAATAATTGCCTGCCAGTTATGCCGCCGGCAGCGCACAAAGCGAAGTCGCTTTCTGCCCGCAACTGGATCACAATGCACACGGCATTCCCAGAATGCAATTGGCTGTTTGTGTAACGAAACTAATTAGTAATTACAGCGCCATAGCGGATATAGCCTCTGCGTGTTTGTGTTTGCATTCACCGCGATTATGAAAACTTCTGTGTCTGTTGGGAGGGGGGGGGGTTAATTAACGACGCTCTCAGCGTCGAGACGACATAGCGTCGGATGAGAGATGAATTGGAAAGGATTCGGAACGAACCGATTGTAAGCTAATCCAGATGCAACCTCGTCCACGTAAATCATATCACAGTAGCCGGTGTCTGGACCGAGATTTGAAGCGAACACCTCCCGAACAAAAGTCTATAGCGTTATCCCCAATAACCTGTTCCATTCTTCGTGTTTGTGTTCTCGCGTCGGATGTCATTCCCTCTAACCTGACTGCATGACGTCGAACGGGAGCCTAATTGAAGCAGCACGAAGGGACTGAGGAAAACCATGAAAGCCGTCGGTCAGGATATTCTAGTGTCGAGGCCGATATTCGAACAGAGCACCTCCCGAATACGAATCTAGAGGGTTACCGCTACGCTAACCCGCCTGGTTGCTACAGCACACATAACAGACCAGCTGGCCTGTCTGTCCCGAGCACACACAGAAGTGTCACAGCATTAGTGACATCGGCCGACAAGTGTGCCCAGAGGGGGCACAGCAGCCTGAAGCGAAACGTCTGTTTCTCAAATCAAATATCTGGAATACTGGGGCACACGCCCCCAAATATTTGTGCATATCGGGAACACGCGCTATCGTAAGCTTGGTCCCAGCGAGTGACAGGTTCCGAGAATGTACAAACGCTATATCGGTAGGGGTAAAGGCGGCCGTAGCATCTATTGCCGACAGTAACAAAGCAACTTCCTGGACTCTAGTCCACATAACGTGAGCTACTTGCACATTTCGACGAGAAGTTTTACCTGCTACACGTGTGCCCTTTTCCTGCACACCCTGTCTGTGGGTTCTGTGTAAGTATTTATACTCCAGGGCAGGTCTCCTAAGTTCCGAGAAAAGCGCAACTTGCAAAAGGGCTGTAAAATCTCCCTCAACTTCCTGTAGCCACTGCTTCGGAAGGGAATTCGGAGTTCCAGCTTCAGTTTCAAAATGTACCCACGGCGGTCATTGTGTCAAATACTGTCTTCGGTTTGTAATGCCGTGTAGACGGGTAGAAGTTTACTGACGTTTCGTAGGAACGTACTGCCGCAGTCTTCAGGGACATATATCGTGTGCTAAACAAGCAAGGAGCAAGGTTCTAAGTGCAATTCTTACCATTATTTAGCCAGTGTTAACCGTTTGAAACCTGAAGAGCGAGTGAGGGGGGGGATGGTGGGGGGTTACATTTTAAGGGGACAGAAACAGGGAGTGCCCTCACGTTCTTCTCGTGCCGGGAGTTTGAGAGAGGTTAAAGCATGGGAAGTAAAGAAGTTATGGGAATTAGAAAACGGGCTTTGTTATAAGCAGAGGAGAGATGTTGATCAGAGGCTTTGCTGCGTATGATCAGAACTTATTTTGATATCAACGTTGGAAGGGCTGCATTAGAGTCAAATCTGGTTTTAGCACTGGAAAGGCTGCATTATGGCGAATTTGTCAGCTTATCATTGTGAAGCAAGCAGTGCACCGTCGAATTTGGCTGCCAACTCAGCATTTGCTGTAAGACCGAGGAATCTCACAGGAAACCTTGATCGAGTTGGCCGGTCACAGGACCTTCCGGATGCAAACTGACTTCTGCCCAGCAGTCCGGGATTAAATACACGAATGATAACATTATCTCATATCTGGTTGTTTTTCCTTTCGCCCCCATAAAGACTGACTGATAAACTGCTGCTGGCCCTCGCCAGGACAGTGATCCTTGCTTCCGAGACTCGCTAAAGACTGAATTTCTTCCAAATAATACCGGTATATAAAGATCCTGAGGACGCGCCGTGCCGTGGTGACAAGGGACCCACCTAATAAGGGCACCTCAAATCCAGCATATAAAATATCTAATTCGTGTATTTTCTTACGAAATTCCGGTCTAACAATTTCCACGTTCTGTGGATGCGTGCGCAAGCTTTCCCCGTCACGACTCCTGGCAGTGCATTCATTTGGCTTGGTGCTCCGTCTCTGTCACACCTCCCCACCACAGCACTTCACTCCAACTCACAGCTGGCTGGCTGGCAATACGAAGAATGGACTCCAACTGGCAGGCAGTACCGCTTTTGGGTCGGAGGCAGAAGGTCGTTTCAGAGCGCAGGGGGGCTACTTGGTGAACTACGGAAGTGATAACGCGACTAATCAGTCTTAAACGTTTTGCTGTATACACTCATCATGTGTTGATGGCCTCCCCCGTTTCCGGAATAAGATGATATTTCAATGACAGTGAATAGTTGTGAGTTTGGGAGAATTTTCCGTCAGTAATATAGTGTTCTACGTAATTTAACAAACCTGTGTGCTGTGTAAGTGACGTGAAGTGATGTGGTTTGAGATTACTGCTGCTGCTTCGTGAGATTTACTGAAATGTAAGTACGAATATTGTCAGTACAGCCGTCACGGTAGGAAAAGCCGAAACCGTGAATTCCGAGAAAAGCGATAGGTTGCCAGGTCCAGACGCAGACATTTTTGTACGGACAATAAACTCGGCTTCCCTTCTCAGAGAGATATCTGTTAGTCTTCATTTACGCATCCTGTTTAACAGTGAAATTGTTCCAGTAACCGTCTCCGCTACGATTAATTGGTGATTATACGAACAGAGACACTAATTGGCCACATCCGTTGATCACACGTCAAGAAGACCGAAAACATAAACCCACCCCCACCCCCAACATCCGTCGAAACTACAGCGACAAGATATTAAGAAACAGAATGGAATATCCACTAGCATCAAACTGTTTTAGTGCTTCGCGTCATTCTATTGCTACTTCAGTCGTACACAAGGACAGTCAATATTGCAGATACAAGCGCATCTAACTTCACAAGAAACCCACAATCATCTGCTTTTAATAAAAATTTCATCTCCATATTATTCTGATGCAAGTCCAGTATTTAAAATCTGTGAAAAGTAATTATGTTCTCACATATATCACTGTATTAACCCAGATATGAGGCATTATTTTGGGGCCTTAAGAATAAATATCGAGAGAATTTTCTTAGGAAATTTACCCAGTTCGCAACAAGGACACTTAATAATACAGCGGTTAATTAGCATGTATGTTTTATTTGTAAGCGATATTCATTATCATATCGGTGGAAATATGCCGTGTTTTTAAATTAAGTAACCAATTTATTCATCAGTGCATTGTTGTGCAGGAAGTTATTGTTGCGTCGCGGAACGTGGTATTGTTGTTACGAAACAGAACCGAAATACACGCTACATGAAGGTATTCTGAATCCGCACATGCAGTGTTAGAGGAGCGGAGGATATATTTAGTGGTTACGAAATGCACGTTTAGTGTCATAGCTCTGGCGTCGCTGTCTTATTGTACCCGTTCTCACGGTCTCTTCGCTTGCGGATATCTTATTTTTCCTTCCACCCTGAAGATGGAGGCGATACGTTCCTCCGAAACCCCGGTTAACACCACGTCTACAGGGTGCCACATCCCAGAAGACTGCTTTCTTCATAGTCACCGCCGTGAGAACCTCAGATCTGTAACTTTTTTTCGAAACACTTTTCGCTCCGGTAAATATTTCGCGAGTTAACGCTCCCGCATGGAAGTCTAAATGGAAAGGTGGCTGCTGCTGTCCGATATTGAACTGAACTGGCATGCGTCCGCACTTTGTTCTAAGTGTTTCTGGACATTATCCATCGTCATGTTATAAAACGCAACGTTTCGGAGACTGGATTCTGCCTCCGTCTTCAGGTTGAACCTACCTAGTTCGGCCCAATCGACAGAGCTAATCCTATAGAATTTCCAGAAACACAGTAACTGTATTAATATACCATCGTCACAAAGTTATAGACTGTTAATGACACATTTTTTGTTACTTAGCGAATGTGCAAAAAAAAAACAGATTACGCGTGATTTAAACCTACGATTATCTTGATCATGTCTTGGAAGTAATTTTTTATTGTTTCGATTTAAATCGTGGTATATCATGTACGAGAAGGAAGGCGTATGTGGTATGCACGAATATAATCATACAAACATGTCGCAACAGCGTACAGAATGATTCAGAAGTCCGCCTTCCGCGCGGCCAACGCGAACGGTGCAGTTTTGGAGTATCTCAGGGTATTCCTGAAAGCAGCTACACGTCACTTATCTTTTCCTGAAACGCTCTTAAATCAATTTTCCTTCATTCTGGGAACTTTGCTTATCTCGAGAGTGCGAGTTACACACGCAGTTCTAAGTATTGCCAGGACACGTGATCGAGTCTTGTTACAGGGCTCGTTACGCTTATTGCAGAGTAAAGTTGTCCCTGTGCTTAACTAATTAAGCACTACGCCATAAAGACGTATGGGGGAGTGGATATATAGATCCACGTTTTCTTGACCTCGGCACTAGCTGCAGATGAGTGGTCAGATTCAAGCCCCGGCCGCATTATCCCCGGGGAAAGAGCCCCTGGTAATCGTTGGGTAGGAGGCAAGGTGGTCCTCAGAGCCGGTTTGGACGACGTGGGTAGGAGAAAAATCTTGCCTCTACCGGGACTCAAACTGCGATCCTACGGCCGTCGAGACTGTAACCAGTCGCTATACCGACTGCGCTGCCCCGGCTCCTCCTTGCCATAAAATGTCTGAGCACTGACCAAAAAATTGACAATTTCAGTAAACGGCGTTAACAGCAGCGTGTTTTCTGTGAGGTAGGAACTGAATAAAGTGAACTTTTAGCTTCTAAGGGTTGAGCACTTTCAATAAATGTACAAGTTTGATCACGGCAATGACATCAACAATTCTGATGGGTTACAATTTTAGTTCGGAGGATAATATTAAAATAGGTTAGAGAGGATGGCTTGATCTGGCTCAACATAGGCACCAGTGGCTATTTCTAATGAACACGGTAATGAACCTTCCAGTTCCAAAAATGTTGGGGAATTCTTGAATGGCTGAGGGACAAGCAAGCTTCTCAAGAAGTGCACAGCTCCATGGAGTTAGTTAGGTTACAATTTATGATCTAAGAAAAATACATTTCAAAATGCTAGCAGAACATGTACTACCCACGCAATCGTGCAAGTGTTCTTTGTCGCTACCAAATGTAGACTCTGAGCTGAATATCCTGTAATCAGCAGGTCTATTGTGTTCAGTAAAGTTCAGCTATCGGTGCAAGAGCATGGTGTCCCGCCCACACACAGATGAAAAGGACGTGGGATAGGCACAAGCTATATTACCGAGGGAGACACAGCAGTGACCAGTTGTCACGCGCCTGCAGATCGCAAGATGTTGCAGCGACAAATCCTGTTGTAGCGAAGCTCATATTTATGGTTCTCAGGCAACGAAAAGGTTTTCTGGGTTGTAACGACGTGTAGCTCGGAGACCGGCCGACGTTTCGGATGAACATATTACCAGCACATTCAGCGTCGAAGAATAAAGACAATCAGCGTTTGCTGCCTGCTTCCGCTGGTTTCTTGGATTTTACTCTGGGACCTTAGAGATCGAGACTGTATGTTCCTCCGAAACGCCGGGCCATCTCCGAACTACACGGCGTCATATCCCAGAATATCGTATCCGTCATAGTCACCGTCGTGAGAACCCCAAATCCAACAACGTAACAGGTTAGGTTAGGTCGTTTCATTTACTTCTTTAATTTAGGTTTTATTTCAGTTAGGGCTGGTGCTCAAGTAATCAGATCAGGAAGCACGGGATGGTCGGGACATGTAGCACGCATACACAATTTTAATTTTAAAACTTGAAGAGTACTGGGAGGAGGGGCGTAATGTAGATACCGTGACGATAATGAGATCTATCTTGGCAAAAACAGGTTTTGATTAGATCCAGGTGGCTCAGGTTAGAGAGCTCGTATGAGCACACGCTACGAACCTTTGGGTTTCGTAGAAACCTGGGTACTGTGACGGGAAAACTCCATGCATTAAATGACTGTAGGAAATATAAATAAGACAAGAATTTGGGAAGAAATCTGATGGGGGGGGGTTCATGAGGATGTGCCATGTTAGTAACAGACACTCAACGGCGAAATCAAGTGTGTGATATCAGCAACCGTGTGTAACCGAAACCTGCTTAAGCGCGTAGAACAGACTTGGAGCAACTTCAGATGCAACCCGCTCCTCCCTAAATGCCACCGTCAGTTCGTGTCAGGCATACAGTACTCGTATGTTATAGCGACATTATCAGGGTCCTCGGCGGGCGGGGGCAAGCCGGTCGTATACCACCACCCCTGAATATTTGGAGGGGGGGAAAAAAAGATTAAAGTAAAACATTACTAAAAAAAAATGAGAAATCTACCTTGAACATTTTAGGACGATGAGTAAAAATACTTTTAAGCCGCTTAAACAAAAGTGTGTGACTGCGCCCCCTTCCCCCGGAATAATCCTAGCGGCCTACATGGCTTTACTACAGGGACGTTATGTTAACTCTTTGAAGCCTGAAGTATATTTAAATAATATTTAAACACCAAGTTATTTAACGAAGAGAGAATGGACTGCATCTCCACTACAAAGCCCAACCGGTTAATGCTGTTTAGGGAAACAGTCGCTGTTTACTGTGAGAACCATACGGAACACACAGACACACTCTGTGGGCAGAATGCAGAGTTTTAGTATGTTCAGTCCGTACCTCACAGGAAACATTACGTCTCCGCTACAGAGCCCAACCGGTTAATGCTCTTTAGGGAAACAGTCGCTGTTTATTGTGAGAACCATGCGGAACACACAGATACACTCTGTGGGCAGAATGCAGAGTTTTAGTATGTTCAGTTCGTATCTCATAGGAAACATTACGTCTCCGCTACAAAGCCCAACCGGTTAATGCTGTTTAGGGAAACAGTCGCTGTTTATTGTGAGAACCATACGGAACTCACAAACACACTGTCTGGGCAGAATGCAGAGTTTTAGTGTGTTCAGTCCGTACCTCACAGGAAACATTACGTCTCCGCTACAAACCCCAACCGGTTAATGCTGTTTATGGAAACAGTCGCTGTTTATTGTGAGAACCATACGGAACTCACAAACACACTGTCTGGGCAGAATGCAGAGTTTTAGTGTGTTCAGTCCGTACCTCACAGGAAACATTACGTCTCCGCTACAAACCCCAACCGGTTAATGCTGTTTATGGAAACAGTCGCTGTTTATTGTGAGAACCATACGGAACACACAGATACACTCTGTATGCAGAATGCAGAGTGTCAGAATGTTAGAACATGTGGCTTATATAGTTACCACTGTGCTGTAAAAGGTAAGATACGTGCTGGAATTGCTGTGGAGGGGCCCTTGCAGTAGCTGCAACAGACGAATCCAAACGTTCCCACTTACCCTGCTTGCAGCACAGTGCTTCGTCACTAGATTGTGTCCGCACCGACTTGACTTCCTGTGCCCTACACAGTTCAGTCAGTTTCGTTTAATTTAATGTAACAGG